TACTTATCAATTGAGTTATTTAATTATTTATTGATTGATTTATTGGATTATTTATTTATTGAATTATGTATTTATTTATTAATTGATTTATTTAATTTCTTATTTATTTATTGATTGAATTATTTATTTATTTAATTTATTTATTCAATTATGTATTTGTTTATTGATTGATTTATTGAATTATTTATTTATTCAATTATTTATGTATTGAATTATGTCTTTAATTATAAATTGATTTATTGAATTATTTATTTCTTAATTGAATTATGTATTTATTGATTGATTGCATTATTTATTTATTGATTGATTGGATTATTTATTTATTCATTGAATTATGTATTTATTTATTAATTGATTTATTGAATTATTTATTTGTTTATTGCTGGATTTATTGAATTATTTATTTGTTTATTGCTGGATTTATTGAATTATTTATTTATTCAATTATTTATGTATTGAATTATGTCTTTATTTATAAATTGATTTATTGAATTATTTATTTCTTGATTAGTTAATTGAATTATTTATTTATTGAATTATTGATTGATTGATTTATTTATTGAATTATTTATTGATTGATTTATTGAATTATTTATTTATTGATTGAGTGATTTAATTATTTATTTATGTATTGAATAAATACATGCGTCATTTGATCCAGTCTAACAGGCATCACGCCTAAAAGTGACCAGCCGGCTTTTTTAAACATATTTTAGCGCGATATTTATTGAATTATTTATTTATTGATTTTTAAGGCTGCTATGGACAATTCACAAAAAAGGCTGGTCACCTGGCTGTCATGTTGATCCTCTGTCTTTAAAAGGTCTCTATAGAGTATGTCCGTGTGTATGCAAGTAATGGCGCATCCCGGCCCACAGCTGCATACGGCCATTGATATCTATGGGGCAGCTACACGCACCAGTTTTGGCCCCCTGGCAGGGAAATGCGCCCGATTTTACCCTTGACCGGCCCCAGCTCTGTTGTGGCACGGTGAGTGCTTGTTTTTGTTAACCGTGATATACAAAATAAAAATAAAAATCTATTTTGGAAAAGAAAAAAAAAAGCAGTGAGGGGGTTGTAATCCTTTAAGTCCCAAGCACAGTAGGTGGCAAAATGCAACCCAGCAGGAATGTCACCAGGAAGGAGCGAGGCTTCTGTGATGAATTAGGATGTTTTGTATCATGCAAAATACGCTTAGTCTGTATTTGGTGGAATGGGAACATCGTTATGTTCAGAATTTTAACCCGGACACAGCATTGAAAACCCGGACTGTCCGGGTGAATCCTGGACAGGTGGCAACCCTACGTATCATGTGACATTTCTCTTGTCCCCTGATTGGCCCCAGCGTCTTCCTCTAGGAAGTCATATCCCATATCACTGTATCCATCCTTCTCACCGTCTCTGGGATCCACGATCTCCACAGTGGCCTCCTGATTCTTCCCCGCTACGGCGTTCTTGGGGGTCCTCAGTATGATTTTCAGAAGCTCGTGATTTTCCTCCAAACCGTCGTTCTTTAAGTAAATGTTCCAGGTTTTTGTGGAAACTCCTAACAGAGAGAAAACGGAATATTCAGCTGAAGTCAGAGATATAATACGCAACCCCTTATTGCCTATTAAAGTCCGCCCCGGCTGGATAGTTCATTACAGATGGAGATTTGGGGAATCTGTCTTCTTATCTATCAGAGATCTTACCAATCAAGTCCCCCGAGGGATAAAAGAGACCGTTACGGAGTTTGTCTCTCCAGCATCTACCACAAGCTGGAATACCTGTTTCGGGTGGGCTGACCCTTTAAGTTGACGTCATTTTGAAGCAATAAAAAAAAAAAAGCCGCAGGTCACGATGGATATAAAGAGTATAATGTTATCAGGCAAGCTCCGCATTTTATCATTATATAGTAATCGCTGTCCTAAGGAGAGTATGTGAAGGAGAGAAGATGTAAGAAGGGTGTGGATCAATGCATAGATGTATAATAAGAGACGCGGAAACATATAGATCGTATTTTATAGTATCAATGACATGTATGTATAGTTCAATGGAATGTGTATACCGTGTTTCCCTGACAATAAGACACTGTCTTATGTTTGTTTTGGCTCAAAAAAACACTCTAGGTCTTATTTTCGGGCTAGGTCCTACCGTATATTTTTTTTAATCTACAACAATTCAAAATGAATGCAAATCCAAATTAAATAATCCAAAATGGCAGAGTTAAGAATAGGGGTGATCAGGGCAATCAGGGGTGCCGTACCTTCCCAAGAGCAATTTGGTAACCAATCGCTGGTCAGAATGAGCAAAGTGCGCTTTCCCGATGGATTCCTCACAGGCGGAGTGCATTTGGTATCACTCCGCCTGAGACAGGAGCCGGCGCTATAGAGGAGGCATCGGCTTATGCGGCTCTGCTCCCTCCGCTGCCCGTGCCTCGCTTCCTCTAGCGCTGGCTTCGTTTCAACACTGATTCTCTCTTCAAGTTCCCCCTTATGCCACCACCGGCCCCGGGAATGGTCACAACTAGGTCTTATTTTCGGGGTAGGTCTTATTTTCGGGGAAACAGGGTAATTGTATATTTATGAAAAAGGAATAAAAATATATTAAACAAAAATAAAATAAAGTCATCACTGCATTGTAGTCATTCCATTGACCTTATCTATACTGGGATGATGGCACCAATCTGCTGCATGCGGGAAGAAGCATTTCCTCAGTCTCCCCTCCCCCAGTGATCCTATTTGGGCCCAGGATGCCAAAGTGCACCCCACCACTAACACTGAAGGGGATGGATTTTGTGTGGACTGCACACCACAAAAAAAGCCATCTTACAAAAAAAAAAAATGAAATCTGTGATTTCAAGAGAGGGGGAGGGGAACAATACATAGGAGCAAGGCAATGGGGGTGACGGTCTGCTTCAAATTATAATGTAAAAGAGAACTATGGGGTAGCCTTTTTATCCCATAGTTCTCTTTAGGGTCACGGGAGGACATATACTAACGTCCTCCTGTGACCCAAAGCTCTGTATATAGCCAGCTATTACCCGTGATATACTGAGAGCGCCGCAGCCGGGACGGATCCTGATAATACTGTTGAGATCTGCCCAGCTGGCTGACTGACAACGGGCTCTGCCTATCTAGAGGCAGACCCAGCTGTGCCCGCCCCCCTCCCCCGTCCGTTCCTCCAGTCAGCTCTGGAGGATCGGCAAGGGGGGAAATCCCTGCGGGGAACAACAGTCACCGCTCTCTGCAGGGAGATGATCGAGAAGTGAGCGAGCGACGGTATGTGTTTGCTCGCTTCCCGATCTATAGAGCAGATGTGTGACCGTTTCATGGTCATGTGTCGGCTCTAACTATGAGGTTGAGTGTAAATCACTCGCCTCATAGTTCCCCTCTAAGGAAGAACTTTTTAGATTAGGATAGAACGGTGAGGGGGTTAGCGCCCCTGTCAGGTTTATATCATTGTCTTAGGGATTGTGTGAGGTCACTTTTCCCCCAAAAACTAAAAGTGATATTTTACACGCTATAGAGCCAATAACGCTCATCACTTTGGTCTATGAATCTCTCATGAAGGAAATCCGTCCCGCATTGTTTAGCATATGAAGTTGATTTAACCCGGCCGCGCGTCACTTTCTAAAGGAGCGCGGCGATTTAATGTTACCTTTAATGAAATGCCTTTTTTAAACGGCAACCTTTAATTGAGCGCTGACCCCGTCCCGAGATTTGATTTACTGGAACGTTCTATTTTGCTGGAATTCGCTGAGATGAATAAATTAGCCCGGTACCAGTAACTGGATTATAAATTAGCCGTCCGCCAGCGTGCGGAGCAGGAGGTGCAGGTGGCGGGAAGGTGCAGAGACATTGTACTGAACGATGGGGTCACAGACGATCCCCATCACTGGATTCAGGAGATCCCAGCACTGTGTATGAGGTGGTGCAATGACAATCGATGGAAGGAAGTGTAACAATGTGACTTCATCCTTCATCTGTCTATTGTTATTATTATTACTACATACATATGACACAGCGCTGGACAGGAAACAAGACGAGGGCTCACACTGCACGCATGACACAGGAGGAAAGGAAGGAACACAGAGAATGAGATCACAATGTAAGAGGAGGAGGACAGAAGATGCAACGCAGCCGAGTCACTGAGGGAAGAAAGAATGTTCAAGTTAGATTGGTTATTGTATGAAAGAATGAGGGAGAGAAGGAGGAAGGAAGGAAACGAAAGGAAAGAAGAAAAAGGGAAAGAAGGAAATAAGGAAGGAAGTAGGAAAGAAGGGAAGAAAGGAAAGAGGGAGGGAGCAAGGAAGGAAAGAAGAAAGGAAGGGAGGAAGAAGGGAAGGAATGAGGGAGGGGGGGAAAGCTCTCCCTCTGAGCACAGCAATGCGTTATTGACTTAAAGTGACATTAAGCCCTCAGATTTTTTAACATAAAACAATACTGTAATGTGCGCCGTCCTGTAATCCATGGTTGTTTCCCTTCTCTTTGCTGCTCTTCCTTTTTAATCTGTATCTCTTCTCATGCTGGGGGAGAACTTCTGTTTTGCAACAGACTGCCTTGTCTCTGGAATGGATACATGGTGTCTGTGTATAGATTTGTAACCTGAGCCAGCACTACAGGAAGAGGCCCTGAGCTGAAAAGGGAAGTTCTCCCCGAGCATGAGAAGACATGAGGATTTAAAAGGAAGAGCAGCAAAGAGAAGGGAAACAACCATGGATTACAGTAAGGCGCACATTACAGTATTGGTTTATGTTAAAAAATCTGAGGGTTTAATGTCACTTTAACTATGACTGCGGTGTGTATTTAAGGTTCTGTACAGGGACATCACAAATTTAGGAAGGAGGGAGGGAGGAAAAAAGGAAGGAATTATGAAAAAGGAGAAGGAAGAAAAACATAAGGAAGGAAGGAAGGAATGAGGGAGGGAAGAAGGAAGCAAGGAAGGAAGAAAAAGGGGAAGGAAAATATAAGGAAGAAGGGAGAGAACAAAGTAATTAGGGAAGGAAGGAGGGAGAGAGGAATGAAGCAAAGAAGGGAGGGAGGAAAGGAGGGAAGTAATGAAGGAAATAGGGAGGAAGGAGGGAAGGAATGAAAGAAAGAAGGAAGAAAGGAGAGAGGGAGGACGGGAAGAAGGAAGGTAGGAAGGGAGGGAGGAAAGAGGGAAGTAATGAAGGAAAGAAGGAAGGGAGGGAGGAAGTGAAGAAGGAAGGAGGGAAGGAATGAAGGGAGGAAGAAGGGAGGGAAGGAAGGAAAGAAGGAAGGAAAGAAGGAAGAAGGGAAGGAATAAAGGAAGGTGGAGCGAAGAAGGAAGGCTCATACTCAGCTCTCCCTCTGAGCACAGCAATGCGTCAGTGACCCGGCTATGACTGCGATGTGTATTTAGGGTCCTGTACAGGGACATCACATTTTTAGGCCTTTATCCGTCTCCGTTAAATGCTTACTTAGGACAAACGTCCGGCCGTCTCCAGGAGTCATAATTCTCTGATATGGAAAGAAAAGAAGTCTTGTGGAAATATGAAGAAAAGGACATAATGACATCACAGCCAGCCAGCCTGAAGCGTCCCCTTGTATTAGGAGAGCGATGTGATCCCGGCTCCGGCATTCATGAATCTCATTATCAGTTCTTCCATGTAAACAATGTCATCTATTATGTTCTCTGACTTCAAACACTCCGACAATATTCTTTTCTAAAGAAACAGATTTTCCGACAAGCCCCAAAGTCAGTTCATGTTTAATACGCAACCTGCTCAGCCGCGCCACCATTAGCGGATAGTTAGCCGATCGGCGAGTGACAATTTATTCCGCCTGGCGCTCAGTTTATGGATTTCTCCCACACTTTCATATCACACCTGTGTCACATTATTACCGAGCTCTCCAAAACAGATGTCTCCTCCTAATCCTGATGAGTTAAGTGATCCTCTCGCTACAAATGTAATGAATTTCACATTCCCCGCTGAACTCTCGGGGAGGAACACCGGCCAAATCAAAACGGGCTACTCTAAATGCCATCTGGGCCGGGGCTGCGATTTGGACCCGAAGTCAGCCTTTTCTATGGGTTATTGTTCACCCCCCACCCTTCATTTGTGGGAATTACATTTCCTAATAGGGATTTTTGTTTCAGGCCCAATGTCACTCTCCTCAGCATTGAAGGGAACCAGTTACCAGTGGACATCTGTGATAATATGTCTCTCCACTCTTCACATACTGTATATATGTTTATATACTATGTATGTATGCATGTATATATATATATATATATATATATATATATATACACACACACTGTATAATGTGTGTATTCTACCCCTGTTATAGGAGAAGTGTCAGCCTGTAAGGACCCTAGTAGACCTATTCTATCTCAGGGCTGAACAGACAGTCATATACCAATAGTGATCTCTGGATTAATCAATGAATGAAAACTTGGGCCCCATTCACATGAGAAAAGGCTGGCACGTACAGCTCTGTGCTGCGTGCGCGGCAGCATCGGGCAGCTCCCGGGAAGGACAGGTGCTGGGTGTGATTAGTACGCAGCCCCCGTCCTTCTCTATGGGAGTATGCGGCCTTACGCCACCCTACGCTCACCCGCCCTGCACGGATGGATCCTGCCTGCATCCGAGCCGGAACACCCGCACCCGTACGGACCTGCACTTGAGGTGAGGGTAGGTTGGCGCACGGCCGCGTACTCCCACAGAGAAGGACCTGTCCTTCCCGGGAGCTGCCCGATACGGTCGGGAGCTGTACGTGCCGGCCGATTCTCGTGTGAATGAGGCCTAAAGGTTTTTTGTTTTTTTCTGATCAATAACCTTCTTAGCAGCCCAGACACAATGTCCTATATTAGCCTGCAGCTTAGGGAGAAGACTGGCCAGCCTCCCATGGGGGCTTTACGTCCTGACCTTGGACTGGTATGTCTGCAATGACAGGATGAGAATACAAGTGAAAAACAACACAAGAAGCTATCCCTTTTGTGGTGTTTTCCGAATCGGTCCTCTCTTTCCTCTCGTCAACGATGTATCCATCTATATCTTAAAGGTATAAAATGAATTCTAATCCAGGGGCAAGGGTGAGCCCCCTCATCATGGAATTAGCCGGAATAGAGAGACACATATAAATAGATACATAATAAGATGTAGATAGAGAGCGAGAGACAGACAAACAGACAGACAGAGAGAGAGAGAGAGAGAGAGAAGACAAACAGACAGACAGAGAGAGAGAGAGAGAGAGAGAGAGAGAGAAGACAAACAGAAAGACAGAGAGAGAGAGAGAGAGAGAGAAGACAGACAGACAGACAGACAAACAGACAGACAGAGAGAGAGAGAGAGAAGACAAACAGACAGACAGAGAGAGAGAGAGAGAGAGAAGACAGACAGACAGACAGAGATAGATAGATAGATAGATAGTGTGAGAGAGAGAGCAATGGATAGATAGATAGATAGATAGATAGATAGATAGATAGATAGATAGATAGGACAGACAGAGATAGAGAGATAGATTGACGGATATGTTACCTGGGTCAAACTGGACGAGGCTTGCACTACTGTGTGTGAAATCCAGGCCGTGTCGGGCGGAGAGTTCCTGGACCTATAAACAGAAATATCCCATTTATATTCGGTGTTATGGTCGCTTCCTACTTCAGAACTGTCAAAACTTGGATAAAGTGCCACGTAAGCAGACCATCAAGCACAATCCTGTATGTAGGACAGGGGGGACATCAGGAGTCATACAGACCCCTGATGTTTCCATAAACAGAACCTGTCACCTCCAAATGCCGTCACATAGGCGATTGTTTAGTTAAATAGAAAAAAAACAAACATACAAAAGTAAAAAAATTTAATAAAAATATAAAAAGGTAATAAAAAAAAAAGCAAAAAAATTATTACAAATATGAAAATTACAAAAATGTAAAACCATCTCTGCCGCCTCCCGCCATCTGATTTGAATAAACAGGTGGGCGTAAGGGAGGCACGGGTATGTAAACAAGAAGGGGGGGAGTTCTAACAAAAAAATAAACAGTGCGCTGCTTTCCCAGGCACCATCAGCACTGTGCCTGGGAATGGTGTGAATGCAGCCCAAATGGCGGACCCGTGTATGGACAAGGACTGAGCGACTGTTCTGTCCGGACCGCAATTCGGACCTCGGCCCGATGAAAATTTTATTCCCCGGACCTCCTTAATTTTTAATTCACTACCCCTCATCTAAAAAGGTTCGTGAGTCAATACTCTCAGCTGATACCACTGCCTGGGGAAGGAAGTTCCACAATTTTACAGCTCTTACAGTAAAGAATCCCCATCACAGTTTAAGATTAAACCTTTTTTCTTCCAATTTCAGATAACAAAATTATTATTATTATTGAATTATTGGAATTTTTTATTATTGGTAATTTTGTAATTAATATTCATTATTATTATTATTATTATTAATGGTATAGATAATAATATTTTTAATAATAATCCCGTAGAGATTATTATCAGAATCCACAGTATCATGTTTTGGAACTAGGAGCTAATTGTATGCATTGAACGTGATCGTGCGATCAGCTGTATAGGTTCAGGGTGCAGGATCGCTATGTGCGCGCACAGGCACGCAGGCCCGTGACCCAAGAATTTTATAATGATTTGTCCCCGCTTTGGTAAATTCTTTATTTAATCAGATTGTTAATACTTTCAAAAACTGAATTTCAACAACTGAAAGAGAAAAAACAATGTGCTCCCAAAAAAAATGTTCTGACAATTTAAAATGTTTTATTTCAATAACCGACGGAGAAAAAACAAAGTGCTCAAAAACATTGTATCTAATAATTTGAAATTTGAATTTCAATAACCCAGAAAGAAAAAAGGACTCCTAAAAAACATTTTCTAATAATTGTTTAAAAATTATTTCAATAACTGATAGAGAAAAAAAAAAATTGGGAAAAAATTGGAATTTTGTTACGTTTTCCATTAAAGTGAGATAATTGATATATTTACATTCTGTACCTGCCCATGAAAATATTTCCTACCTATTTTTTTTTTTTAAGCCCTGTAAAAATAAAATGCAAATATGCGTTTGGCTCGGCTTATCGACTTGAAGCAGATTTTTTTTTTGCAGGCCTGTTATCTCGCTCTTAACATGTCCATGCGCACAGAACCGGTGGCCCCAACATAAATATCTTCCTCCAAAAGCCCAACACCCTTCCAGGATTTGGCACGGGGAAACGGGTGAAGTGTGCGCTGATGACAGAAAAGCTCCGGAACAGTTGAGAGTTTAAAAGGAAATGTTTTATGTGAAAGTCGGCTTTCTGCAGGAAATGATTATATATAAATCTAAAGGGCTGAAATACTGATACTCGCTCCATGGCTCCGAGCGCCAACAATCATCCCGCGTTCAAAGGCTGTTAAATCGCGTTGTTTCCCCGAATCTTCAGAAACAAATCACTTCTACTGTCGTGGTAACCAACCTGCTTCCCTATTTATAATGGTCTGGCCCTCTAGCAACTTCAGCGCCAAATTATAGCTCATTTGTCTACAAACGTCAGGTGGTCCTAATAATCTGGCCACTCGGTGTATATAATAATCCGGCCACTCAGTGTATCTAATAATCCGGCCACTCGGTGTATTATATATTATAATTATCTAATTTTCTAAAATTGTAGTATCAGCTTTACCTGGACAGAACTTTTACAGTTTATGGGCACATGATTTGTTTTCCCCCTGTAAAGAAACATCTATAGTCATTTTAAAAGGTCAGTGTTGACGGGTTTTGGGCTTGTGTCGGTGACATCAGTCTGAGATACTTCTGAGACCATTCAGAATTGATTGACAGGTGAATCTGACCTGCTGTTGACCTCCTTCTGACCTGCATTTGAGCTGCTTTTGCATTTCCAATAGACTTGCATGGGAATGCAAAACCTGTTTGAGGGCCCGTTCACACCAGTTGCAGTGCGACCCGGCCCGATTCTGGCCAGAACGCATTGCCTCGCATTGTGGCCGTCTCACCTTTTAGTGGGGCAGGAGGGGGCGTGGCGGGCCATTGAAGTGAATGGCACTGTAGCCACGCCATGCTGCAAGCACTATTTTGATCGCACCGGACCGCAGGCACAATGTTCCTTGCGCTCCCGTGCGGGCGATCGCATTTCGGCTGGAGGGCGTGGCTACGGTGCCATTCACTTCAATGGCCCGCCACCCCCCCTCCTGCCCCGCTAAAAAGTGAGCCGCCCGCAATGCGAGGCAGTGCGTTCCGGCCACAATCAGGCCAGAACGCACTGCAACTGGTGTGAACCGGCCCTGAAGCCAGAAAGA